GACATATTATGTAAAATTGTATTTCGTTAATTTAATGTATGTGCTAATAAATGTTGAGATCTTATTTCTTTCTTCTGTGGCAATACATTCTAGAGAACGTAAAAAATTGCAGACTTTCTCGTGCAACATAAAGTCCTAACTCTTTAGTAATCTCTCCTCAGTGACAAAATGCAGGAAGCAGGCAGAAAGTGTCATTGATGATTTTATTTAAATAAACTTAACCTTGCGTTTGTGTATCTGATACTACTTTGCATCGTAATAGCCTGTCTATAAGAAGACTTTGAGATTATCAAGATCATTGCACGCGACTGATAATTTTTCACCTTTCGTACCACTGGTGTAAAGCTGTGCGGTAAATTGGAAGCCGCAACAGCGTAACTTCTCTACAGCCAGTTAGCGTGCACGCACGAAAAAACTTGACCAGAAAATATTTTATTCTATATACCGGTTCCAGAGTTTTCTCAACCGAGCGAGGGAATCGTAGATGATCGTGGCACTTCCGCGGGTTCTTTATCTTATCGCGACCATGATAAGGTTTCTGTGGCCACTGCGTACATCAAAATTAGTATGTACCCGTTAGTAGCATTCTCAGTTCTTTATAGGTAAAATAAAAGAAGGCTAACAATAAGAGCTACCGAAGATATGAATAAACAAATGTGTAGTTATAGTTTATTTTTTGTAAATAGAGAAGTATCAATGAGGTATTTATAAATCAGTATAATTAAATCAACTCTGTCTTATATCAGATACTATCCGAAATTTTTGTCTCCAACAATTATAAAAAGTATTGCTGATATTACAACAAAATTAGCATAAGACATAAATGGAGTAACATCTCAAAGTACAAGTTCTATCAGGATGTCTGGGTGGTCTGCGACTGTTTATCACCATAAGCGATTATGCAGTAATCCGCTTGGCACCGACTATTTGGAACACAATGGAGTCTAATACTTATTTATTGTTTAGAAATAGTTTTCTTTTGGAGTGATATTTCTTGATCTACGTGATTTTAACTACCAGGTATATAAAAAACCATTCATTAAGATGAAAAAATGATAAAAGCTAACACGAGTTAATGTACGTTGGGAGAAAGTTCCTTTTACTTTTAAGTTTTTCATGTCCAAAAACCGCGCGCGTAGCACAGACGTTTCTCCGGCTACTCTGGGCAACTTACTAAGGAACGAAGGCCGGTAGGCAGGGAACAAGTGCGATTAAGTGGATCCACCAGGGTTACGGCGGAGCGGCGCTTGGTTGTATAGTTTTTCACTTCACATTGTGAGCCGGTCGCAATGTGCGACGCCTCGGCATGCGGGGTTCTCACAGAGAATTCCTGGTTCCATCGACAAAAAGCTGCGGGACGCACCAAGCGAGATAAACTGCGGCTACCGAAAGACACCGAAAACTGAGGGAGACTTTACTAAACTTGTTAAGTTGACGCCTGTTTTCTAGAAAAAGGAGGCGAGGAAACAGTATCTTTAACAGTTCGTGGAAGAATCATTCGCGAAGGTGTAAATTGTCAGTGACGTCGACGAGATCGGTTTACATTTACGTAAACGAAGATTGAGGGGTGAACGAAATCGCTGTAAAAATATTCACAGTGACCAGGATGCAGATGGTTTCTCAAAGGAGCTACTAACGGAAGAAGAAGTCAGCCGTTTTGTAGCGACCTCGGGTTCAGAAGCGTGTGAAACGGGCCAAGCGAATGCGGCGTATGTACAATGAAAAACTTTGTGTTGATGCATTGTATGTATTCAACAGTCGCGTGTTTAATGTCTGAAGCCGCAGAAACTAGGATGCCGCCAATAATGCAAACTTCGCGCTTTAAATGCGGTGACCCTAATTTTTATTGGACGAGCCGCTCGAGAACGATGATACGGTCGACGACACGGCGGTATCAAGGTATGCGACGGACTGGTCTTAATGCCGATGTTGCATGAACGAAACCACGAAATTCGGCGAGAAGAAGAATTATTCGTGTGCACAAGAAGACTCGCGTTCGAATGTCCCGACTTGACCAGCGGGTTTTCTGTTTCCTAGCAGATGTCAGCCGAAACTGGCCGCCCCGGTACGTCACGTCGGGATCAAGGCCCTCCGGAGAGTCATGTTTCTGTTCGCGCAAAAAGGGATGCGAAACGGATCTGCGTGCAGTTGCACTGGGACAAAGTTTTAAATCGTGAGAAAGCTACCCTCGAAACCTGACTTTTGTCAATCATAGAAATAAAATCAACAGAATGTTGCGGAATGATTTTTAATTCATAGAAATTCACATTTGAATTGCGCCGATATTTAAAACAATAAAAAGATTTACGGTGGTGAAATACTGCGGAAGGAATCGATCACGTATTTCCATTAGGAATGTTGTTTGCACAATCGAAAATAATCGCGGTTATTTTCGGCTAGCGAGTAATCAGGCACAACTGCGTCAGAAATAATCGTGGATTAAACACACGTCCCGTCGATGAATCCCATTAGCGCTACCAAGCAAGGACACACGTGGTCCAGCTGTTAATAAGCGCGGGGAATCGTTTTGTTCTCGTTTTCACGAAACCGTTTCAACGCTCGTCACAGGCACAGTTTTGTTCTCCTTGTTTGCTTTATTAAACCGACCACGTCATTGCTTTTTGTACCCACCCGCGATGTTCCAGGCCATTTTCTCTGACTGACGCGTGACTCCTTCATTCACCACGGTCCTTTATACGATTTGATCCTTATTTAATCTCGAATAAAGGTCCTCAGCCCGTCCCGTTTTAATTAAAACAATCGGGATCGATGTCAAAGGGGAACATTTTCGGCTTACCTGCTGCGAGGACGTATCGGCCGGAGAAAAGCTCGAGAGGGCCGTTAAGGGCGCCAGCGAAGCGCAGGAAGATGCTCTTGAAGGCGGTGGTGTATGACCAGGGGTAGGACTTCCGCTTCCGCAGCTACTCGCACCCCCGCTCGAAGCAAGACTCACGCTGTCCGCTCGCCCTCTCCACGGCGAGACCGACACGTGCTTCAACATGCCTCTTTTATCTCACCTAAAACAAAAATTCCGGTATTCCGATTATTTCTGAGCTATAACAGCTCACTCGTTTTAATTAAGACATTGATTATATTAAAGTCGTATTAGATATTAATCTAAACACGCGGATATAATTCAGCAATATGATTCTATTGTTATCTATATTTAGCGTTTATTAAGGAAATGAGTTTGTTATTAAAACAATTTATGATCAGATGCTGTCTGAATTTTAAACTTGACACTCGATATCAAGTAACCCTGTGCTTCGTTAAATGAACAGTATCTACACAATCTGAACAATAAATTCTAATAATGTGTCATCTAATTCTACTGTTCGGTTGTAATTAATTCAGTAACGGGAAGGTACTAGTTTTCTCCTGGGATGCGAAGATTAACAAGAATTCAGGAACAGGTTGCTCTAATTCCACCGTATCTGGAATGAGATTTCAGACCGGTATAATAAGGTAATGTGAACTCGACAACCATTTAAAATAGCTAGTTAATTTAGCCGCCAGCGACTCGAGTCTCCCCCGGAAAGTTGTTAAAGGAATGACCTGCGGTGAAGGCCGTTCGATAATTATCGGGACAAGCTGATTAGCCGGATAGTAAAACGTGGAAAGTTGAGTACGTACGCTAATGCGTGAGTACCATAGAAAGAAGTTACACTAGCGTAATTTCAACTACAGTACAGACGTGTTCAGTCCTTGAATGTCGCGTAAACAGCGTAAGGGAAACGCAGCTGCGTGCCAGAAGCTCGGAGCTTGAGCATTCGCGAAGTATAGGTACGCCAGGCGCGCGTTCAACAGGAAGCTATACGTGGTCCGATTGTTAAACGTTTCCATAACGAGGAAGCGCGAGGAAAAAATGGTAACCATTCTCACAGCGTTAACTGTATCGCGCTCATTAATAACAAACAGCTATTTCTACAATGAAAATTGAAATATCTGTGAAGAACGCGGATAAAGTACCACTCCAGTTATTGAATTCAATCAAGCTGTAAAATTGGTTTCATTCATTATTCTTTCTCAATTAAAATCCACATAATATCCGCATCGATCGAGCATGCAGAAAAAAGTAGACCGCACATAGGATTTTTCCTATAATTGTCATACGATAGGTTCCTGTTCGTATGTCTACTCACTTTTACGAATTTGTAGCTGAGTGCAAGCCGCACTCGCGGACCGGTACACACGTCAATGCACGAGAGTCATGTTTACACTGGGCGAACAAGTGGCATTGAGTGCATCCAATTGTTACGTTACACTTTTCGAACACTATTGAAATAATTCTGAGATCAATTCAAATTATACACTACAGTTATCGACTGAATCGTCCTGAAGAATTTAATTTTGAAAAGTTCCACACTTTCCACACTTTCCAAACTTCTGTCGATTATTCACAAAACACGAATGAGGAACAGTTTTATTTCCTTGATACAAATTCTTCGATGTTTCCAATAAATTCGTGAAATTCTAAAGTTCTCTTGTGATTATTTGGCGTGCTAATCAAGCACGCTTCTGCGAGCGTTGAAATCACCGGCTGCACGAATCCACCGCGTTCTACACGCTACGAGCGCTGTGCCACGACTGAAGGGAATGCGTCGCGTCGCGTGAGTGAGCCGTCGAGTAATGTCGGTGTAGTAAGCCGTCTCGTCTACGCTGTGCTGGCGCGGAGGAAAGAAAACGACCTTCCTTCCAACCAGCGAGTGTACGAGACTCGTCGACTGTTCTGTGCGCGCGACTCAGCGTACCTTGTATGAGTGCGGGGGCGTGAAACTCGGTATTGTACGGTCGCATGTCCATGGGAGGTCTCTCTTTCTCTTTTTCCCTCACGACATTTTAGCAACGCGTGGGCGCAAGTCAGAAGGGATGCTCAGGGTTTGACTCGCTTTTTGCTTTCGTCTCGTTTCGCTGACCCCACACCATCACCGGCCCTGGGGTGCATACATTATGAAATGCATGGCACGGTACGTTGTTAGGATGCACAATGGATTTCGATTACATAAGGGTGGGACAGGTTTTAATAACGTATACTATTTGTGTAAGTATTTTATGGCTATAAATAAAAGTGAAAAATATTTATTGATGGAAGTTATGCTTCTTTTGTATTAGTAGTGTCTAATTTATTAATAAGCGGTATTGATTGCTACTTGTACTCACTACATTAAAATTGATAGGCTATAATAATTGGGAAACATATTAATTGAATTTAATAGTTTATGAACTTTAACGAGAGTAAAATAATCGTAGGCATTAATTCTGCAAACGAAACATCCCGCATATCAACTTTTTTGAAATTTGGAATTACCTGTTCACACACAATTATTGTGTCCAAATCTGAATATTAATCAGTATCTTTCTATAGCACTCAAATATTAATATACTTGGTTACAAGCTATTCAGTAGAAAATTTTAGTTGCTTGTAAGAAGATTCCCGAGTGAGAAATAACTTATTCCTTGACAAGTGAGACTTTAAATGACAATTGATATTCTGTAAACGCCACAAACGACTTCCTAAGTGAGTAAATTACAAATGTCGTGGGAAGAACAGACGTACGTACCAATGAACACCACCAGTGTAATCCATTGCTACTACCTAATATAACAATATAAATTTTCTTAATATTACTTAATTACAAAAATCACAGCGTTGAAAAATGATTTATATTTAAATTATATAATGTATACATGACATGCTTCACGAAATTTTTAAACGAGATTACAGCATTTTATCGTCTAACTACCAGCATGTTCGCCGATACCCACTGATGGAACAGGAAAGAAATGATGAAAAAACAAGATCTACTTCCTACGTGATAATTTAAAATCCGTGAACACATGGGCGTTGATTACGTGATTATGAAAGGAAAAGGTCTTGCGTCGATTTCTTTAAAGGAAATCATTAAATTTGCGTAGGAGTAGAGCTACAAATTTATCTATAATTTATACAAGAATTTTTCAGTTATACATATATTCATTATTACACATACGTACATTTTATATCTTATTTGTTTATATCCCGTATATTATACAGAGTAGTTGAGATATTATGCATACTCAGAATAAGCTATACTAGGAGAAAAATGTTTATCTTTTCACGCTTGCGGATACGATCTAAATCTAGACTATATGTATGTATAAATCAACGGGATTCCTCGAGAAGAGGATGAACGAAAGTTATGCGTTTGCTTTCATTGCGGAACCAGCCGAAGTGGTTTCCTCCTTTTCATGGTGATCATCTTTTTCTCCTTTACTGATTTCTCTCGCAGCGTAACACGGAGCTTCTTTCTTTTGTTCGAAATCCTTGCGGATCGCCTTTGGACAGGTGAAAACATTTCACACGTTTGTTCGCGAGAACCATTTTATTCCATTTATTCAGAGAGAGGAGAATTGACACGAACAGAACCCATAAGTGCTCGAGTTGGCCATAGAATCGTCGAAAAGGTCGAATAGAAAGCGTATTATTACATCTGACTGAGCTTCTCTCGACGAAGGGATCAAGCGACTGAGTAATTTGAAACTTGTAGACGTACAGGTGTACAGGCTTCCAATAGACTGTCTTTTTTAGAATTGAAATCAAGTCCTGTATAAAAGAATTTAGAAATCGTAGTAGAAATTCTAAATACAAATGAAACTTCTGAAAAATTTTCTGAAATCTGGACTGAATTTAATTTTCCTACAATGAAAGGTTTTACTAGAAATTATGAATATCAGTACATCAAACTTACAATAAAATCAACAGATTTCCTGTTCCTATCAGCTTGTATCTATTTTAGAATTTTTAATAGACCTCTTTTTTTACTATCGTTTCCTTTCTATTACGCTACTGGACAATCTTCAACACAGATTTTTTGTGCACATTAAATAAATTAACGATAATTGGTAACATTCACTTCCTATCTAGTCGCATTCCTTTTTTAATCGAGGTCGAAGTCCTGAGAGCAGAATAAAATACGCTCCAAGTCAAATGTCGGCATGATCAGAGGAATTTTATAGAGACCACAACCCTTGAGCAAAGATGCGATGAGCAAATACATACACGGCAACATGAAAGTCGTATTATATCAACCACGCGTGATATCGCGATTCTCCGGTGCGATTCACGTGTTTGTCGCGAACAACGAGCCTCCTATGAGAGGCATTTCCTTCGACGATCTGGCATCGTTCACGACGATGTCGAGGAGAAAATTCAATTAGGCTCGACCTAACTAGATCGCCGTCGTTGCAACTGCAATCGGCAGATAAGTCGAGAAGACTCCTCCAGTATGACTCTCGCATTAGCTAACTTCCACTCGTTTTTTAATGGTCTCAGTATGAATCATAAATCTGATTGAGACTTCTGAAAGACATAAGGCTGATATTATTTTTCCTACTAATACGCGATAGCCAAGACAACGAGTGGACAAGATTTCTAAGAAATTATCTAATCAAAATTGATGTAATATAAATTTAATTATAATCTCAATCTAAGTAAATTCATAATACATTTATAAGAATTGCACAGGAAGAGTCGGTCTACCAACGCGGGAGCTGGGCTAGAACGAAAGCGAAGCATAAGCAAGTCGGAACCATGGTGGTCAGCCACTTTATCCTCGTGCACGCAGCAAGCGCGTCGAGTACTATGCCTATGGCATGCATACCCGCTATGGGAGTTTGGCAGCTACGCGACGGTCCAGACCGCTGGCTCTCATGGTGTTGCGTTACTTTCCCACAGGCGAGTCTCTTCCTTCGTGTGCGATTCTTTCCAGGCGGCACAACACGGCATACGTACGCCCACCGTGCACCTGCACACGCTCGTACGTTTGCGTGTGCCTGCGTGCATACTGGAAACAGCCGAATGTATAGTACGTCGGTAGGTATGAAACGAAAACGGGCGGCAGGAGAATGTAGAAAGGAGGAGAGTGGAAGAACGAACGAGAGAAGCAGAGAAGCACGCATCTCACCTTGCAAGGCGAACCTGTTCGTCGGTACCGAAACCGAATATCATCTTAAACCGTGTGTTACGACCTGAAAATAATGTTACCCCGAGGATCTTTAAATTTCAGGCTACGGGACTCTGGCGGAAGCGATCGACAAAGCGCCGTATCATAGCGGACGATCGTGAAATTCGGTTTTGACGTCGGAATTGTACGTTTCCGCCGCGTTCGACGCGATGAGAAAAAATCAGAACAGGAAATGTAAAATACCCAATAATAGTCATCAGTTTTAATTAAAACGAGAAGCCTCTTCTTCTTTTACCTATCATTATAAGTCATTGTTATAATTGTTTCTAATTGACAACATGTAAAACCACATGTACCATTGAAACATGTCGGAAGAATTGTTTTCCTTAAATATTTACTTACCATCATCGTTATTATAATTTCAATTAATGCAGGTATTAAAAAATGTTATTACCTAATAGAAGCCTGGTTAACGTGAGACATTGATTTTATTATATGATACAATTTAATTTACAACGTGTTAAAACAAGTGGCATAATTATTTTAGACGGGCGACGGGATGTCAATCCTTTGCTATAGCAACGTTCAGCTTCCGGTCTGCGTGACGGGACTGATTTCCGGGACCGTTCCGTGCTGCATGCATTCAAAGGGACCCCAACATCGAGTGGTCTCTTTCCCTATGGTCATTGGCGAGTTCGTCCTCGTTTCCCATGGGTGTCGTTTTCGTCCGTAACTGTACACTGAACCGATAACATAATGCTGTTTGTTAAGGGATCTGCTTAACACCGGTTCCTGTGATAATTAGGGTACCTTAATTATTACATAAACACCCAGTCGTGTTTACTAATTGTGTCAATTGATGTTTCTGTTCCTCATAAATCCCTGGTTCCCATTTAATAAAGTCATACGCAAAAAGTTACGACGACTTAATTTTTTTATACGATGGAGTTCTTAGAACGAGTATGCGTTTCCTGTTCGCGACGCGACGACGGCGCGACGTGAGCATTCTCTCATAGAACTATCCTTCAGACGCAAGTAGCGCAAGAAAGCTGAAGTAACGAGGCCCAAAAAATTAAAAGTGGATCGAGAGAAGCGCCGCGCGATATCTCTCGATTGCATATCTCGCGGCATTAGCTGTAACAAGATTCGCTGACGGCATCTAATGTAGTTCACGAGATAGTTCTTCGATGATACTTCATTCCCATGAGTGTTGCTTTCATCGCTGAAGCAATGAGAAATCTGTATCCAGGCCAACTTTATTAAAAACGTTAGTTATTAGGAATAAAATTCTACAAATAAAAAATTATAATGAATGTAAAAATGGAGAATTGTTAGCCGTTAAATTCAAAGTAACATGAATAAATAAATATTTATATGTTAATTTAATTTGCTTACAGATTACATTTCCAGTTTATAAAATGCAAGAACCTTTACCGTTTACTTAATTTTTTAGATATCGATACAATATTCGAAAGCGTTCTATTAATTTTGCGAAGATTAGATTGATGTATACTACGCTATCTTGAGTTCAAAGAAAAAGGAAAGCTCATTAAAAACTGGAAAAACCAGTCTAGCTACTGTAGGTGCTAAGTTCTAATACTGTCAACACTCAATGTCCAATTTCGATTCCTCTGATTTGATCTGTCGGAAACGAGCCAAGAAAAGTCCACTTTTTCCAAAGGAACTCGCTCTAGATTACTGAAGAGAGACGGATTATGTTAAAGACATACTTGTACGTATACAAGAAATTGGAGGGTTGCGTATTTCATTATCGATAGAGAAAATTATATATTTGTGATAGTGCATGACGTAATGAATTAATTGATCTCGGGAGTGTAGGATCGAAGATTTGGGAGTGGCCGTATACACGCAAGCCGGCTTCCTGCAGTTTACATAAGTCGATTAACTTACATTACATGCTTCGTGAACTTTCCGATTCTTCGAGACAGAAGACAACGAATAAACAGACGATATTAACAGAACCCTGACGCGTCAGGAAATAGAAGATGCGTTTTGCAATAATCAATTTTATTTTGAAATAGTATGTAAGCAACAGAATTAACAATATATCTTCTTTTTTATTTAAATACAATTACACGACACTTACGATTTCGTATATGATAATTTTCAATAAATACGATTTAAGATATCAATCAAATATTTGTATTTAAGTAACTCAATACACGTTCAACGAAAGTGTTCGATAATTTAACGAGACGATGCACACGTTCGTACTTCATTGTTAACGCTTTTTATCTTATACGTACGTCATGATTACGCCGTTGTACGCAGTCTGTGGACTATCGTATGACGAATAAATTATGACTAAGAAACTGACGAATAAGTCACAGGGTAAACAATTCTAATCGCCCACTGACAAACAGTTCGCTGACAATAGAAGCTACGAGTACATAAATCGTCTTTCCATACAGATCTATCACCGTAACCAGAGAATCAGAACGTATATCATCCTGTCGTATGTACGCAAATTACGAATCTCGCGACATTCGTTAAATAAAAATGATGTGTGGTTCGTAGAAACTAAGGATTCCAGAAATTACATTAAACTCCTGTCAAAGAATCTTATTAGAGGAAAAAATGAAAATTAGCACATAGACAACATATTTTTAACGAAAATAGATTCCAAGTAAACATTTTCATGTAGTATTAATCCATCGTTAAATACTTTTTATGTAGAGTAATTATATAGCGATTTTTTTTTATTAAATGGAAGGGTTCGATACTGGTAACTTTCTGTGAGTAGCTTTATTTTTTAATCACACAGGATGCGGCGCACTAATGCGTACCTACAAAACTCGGAACGAGGAATAAGGGACACGACGCGTGGCACTGTCGTGCAGCAAACACCACACCCTCGAGAAGGACCGCGCCTTGCCAAGGGCGCGGCTTTATCGTTGCACCTTTCCACCCCTACGACACGCAAACACACGCCACGCGGCGCCGGATCGTTACCATCGCATTTTCATCTAATAAAACCACTTTGGCATGATTACACGAGAAACTATCCCGATAAAACGACGACGTTGTGAAAATAATAGCACGTCATCATCAACGATAAAATCTAATAATCGAAATGACAAGCAGATTTTCTTACTCCAATTTAACCGCAATACAATTATGAATAGAGCTGCGGAAATTGGTAGCAAGATTAATGCACGTATCCATTGATCAATAAAACGTAGTTGTACCATCACTTCTTTCCGTTTCATTAGTGTCAGACGTTTTCACCTTTTTCCGGAAACGAGTATCCATTTCCGGGTGCAAGCGCGATTTCGCAACGAACAATGCCCGTTCGATCTGTTTCACGGGGTCTCCTCGCATGTTTCCGCTGCACGACGACGATGCATCGCTTAAAAATCCATACCACTTCCGCCGGATTCTTACTTAACCAACCGTGAAAACGAAAATGAAACTCGTTCAGGAAGTTTCGTACAAATTATATCATTCATTTATACGGAGTCATTAGATTACTGTTAAACATAATTCATCTAATTTCAATCCTTTTCACATTGTCAAATGTTATTACTGCACGGCAGATTTATGTTCCGTTTCCAGCTAGGACGATTTAATACCGTTAACTGTGGACGCAAAATCCGCAAATTGTTGCAAAGAACAATGTCAATTACGGAAAATTGTCTCCCTCGCTAAATTCATTTTCTGGTATCGCGTGCACGCAACTCTACCTTCGTACAATACAGAGTTTCGTTGCTCCGTCAGCTACTACGTAAACATGCTTATCTGTGTGCGTGTCCACTTATTTAAAATTGCGTAAACCCGTTGAATAAGAATTTTCCTAAAGCAGCAAGAACACACGTGCAGTTACTTGGGACTGCCTTCGGTCGTATGCAACGAAGAAGCAATTAATTAACGTCGATACCCGAATGCCGTTAGTTCATGCATCACTCGTTACGGGTTTTACGAAAACCTACGGGAAATTACGTGGGACGGCAAACCGGGATTATTATTGTTCACGAAGGGAATTGCGAGGCCATCGGCCTGGCAATGGTTATGATCTGTCCCTGTGACAATATAAATACAAATAGACGATCGTTGAGTCATGCGTTTTGTCACATATTGGACATCTGTCTGCTACTACAAGATGCGACGGTACCGTCAAATACTAATGGCTGCGCAATAGCCACTATCACAGTCCGTTTATTGACCATTGATCAAAGCGTGGCTCGTGGGGCACGTACCATGATAACTACATGAGATAGAGGTACATGATGACTATGAATAAGACGGCCACACGTAACGCGTTTCAGATTAACTAGCATTATACTGAAAACGAGAATGCCGATGCAATTATACGCGTCATGAATCATGTCGAACGTTTCACTAAGTATGCTTTATGGCATTTGTTCATTTTACGTGGCGCGGATTTCTAGTAAAAAATTATCGATGAAATCGCAAGGCGTAATTAGATGGAAAGAAGGATAAGAATACTCGCGTTTCCGGCAAGCCAGACAACAGGTGGTAATCCCTGGTTGAAAATCGAACACTTCCGTGAGTGGGGTAAACGATTCGTGTTTGGGAAGCAATGAAATCGTCTTCCGGTGAATCTCAATTAAAGAGATCGCGTGTAACTCGAGCAAGTTTCGAACGAGTCGCGTGAAATCGATTCGATTTGAAACCAATTAATTTAATTAATTAGCTTATAAGCTTTCCTTTTAATCATTGAGTGTGAAAAACAATGCCCGATTCAAAAGTTTCGTGGGAAAATACTCGTATTTACGCAGTTAAGAAACTGAGTGGTATTAAAATATGTACCACCCAAGCGTTAGAATTCCGATCGTGGTGAAACCCGTTTCTTTCAGGTCTGGGAACTTCGATCGCAAAGTTAATAATTTCAGGATATGATCAAGGTGCGATCCAGTTTTCACCGCGCTGTGTTACGCATTTCCGGCGCGCATAGAATGCGACCGTGCTAAACGCTCGGCGTTAGGTATTTTCGTTGCTTAAGAATTTCATATTTCCGCTGCGAATTCTCCACGTTTTCTCTCCTGGCCAACATGACGAAACATCGATGTCTTATTACAGCTCGGCAATGACGAATAAGTCAATTTTCTTCTCGCATTGAAAATACAGGATCAACGACATCTTCTCTGTAGGTATCACTGGGAATGGGATTAGGAGATGAAAGGCGTGACGGGGAATCTGGAAACCCGAACTTCTGCGGCACCATAGATGTTTCGACACTCATACCTTGGAACTGGTAGCGCGTGACCGTCTCATGTGACCTCAGTGAACCGAGACGAGTCTCATCGAATCCTGATCTCAACTGCTCTTTAACTAACTTCTCAAGCTGAATGCTCCTTTCCATCATTAATACTGCAGCTTCTCCCTCATATACTCGAATGTTTCAAGCAGTGATTCTTATTAAGATCAAAAACGTCTTTAATATTTTGTGGTGTAATATGTTACTAACTTTCAATTAATATAACATTTTCTAAGCTTAGAAGATATTAGATAAGAGTTTATAATAAAAAGTGTGATAGTGTAATGTACATAATTTCCAGGATATCAGTATATTCTATGCACTATATTTTAATTCTCTACTTAAAGGGTAAATTAGAATAATTATTTTAACGGTGCTCGTAAAAATGTTTTAATGTTGTTCCGCTGACGAAACGAGAGGCCAGTAACGTACATCTGACGCGAAACAACGTGGGAAGCGTCCTTCGCACATAACGGCCTTCCTGAATTGCGTGAGAAAGCC